TATGGCATTCAAAATTTTACCACTTTTAAATAAAATAATATAGTGTTCAACAATGTAAAAAAATAAATAAATACAAATTGTTCATTACAAACATACAAATCAAACAATGCCAATTAAATATTTGAAGTCACACGATGTACTTTCTCGAACTACCATTAAGAGACATGATCTTAAAAATCCTCAAGTTACCATTCAAATATTGAGATTCTTCCACACATCCAATATATAATACTTCTTTCATTTATGTATATACCATGGCAGCTTGCTTGAGTAACGGGTTATGGGGACTAAAAAGTGGGGTTTGTTTATGACGTGATTCAATATCATTTACCTTCTCTTTTGCTCGCCAATGATTTAAGACTTCTTCATAATTTCGAACACAATGTAGCAATTTCGAAGTATTATTTCCAATTTCAGCCTTCAAAGTTGTATTAGTGCCTTCACTCCAAGATGTAGCCATAAGCCCCGTATTGAACACCTTAAGGCTAAGAGTAGTCAAACCATCTTTGTCGTAAATTATACATCTTATTAAACTAACTCTTTTCATTAATTCCGCAATCAATCACCCTCTCTTGCCATGTTGCCTCGAATTCTTCTTCAGATTCACAAAAACTTATGCACTTTCTCCATAATCTTTTGAACTTTGAGTCGGAGTTCAACATTCCAAAATATGATGGAGCATTTTGATTAATATGCCACTGACAGAATCTATGATGAGTTAGGGGAAACTTATTGTCGACTGCAGTCATGATTGCCTAACTCTGATTCGTAAACACAACCCCCCGGTTGTTTATTGCCCATGGACTCAAGAAACACGCCAAAAAGCCATCCAAATGATCTTTGATTCTCATCAGTTAAAAATGCAAACCCGAACATGATCTTTCATTGTGATTGTTAATTTTGACGAATGGAACGCACACAAGTCCATACTAATTAGTTTCATCACCAAAGCAAGCACAATTTGTTAAGCATGTGAAATCTTTTAAAAATAAATTTACCATCGTAATATTATCTTCATCCACCTTCACGTTCTAATAAAAAATATGGTTTATAAAGTGACTTCTTCCTAAAGTACTGTACCGCTCCAATTGGATCATTTCCACTAATTTTTTGTTTATTTCTTTTCTCTTTAGCAGTTTCATCAAATGCATCTCTTTGAGTGAATCCCAAGTTACTCTTTCCTTGTGTCATTATCTTCATCAATCTATATGATTTAGCATGCTGTATACCGACATTCAACAGTGCATTATATACTGTTCTATATTCTTCACTCAATCAATGGTGAGATCGTAGTAAATATGTTTCATCGGGGTTATACAATTCATGGTTGTGTTTACAGTAAACATCCGTGATGATCCCCACTCCTATAAAATATTAATTTGGCACTACATTTGCATCGAAAGTTGTTCTTTTTGTAGTTTGCTAAATCTTATGTTGAAAATTTGTCGTCCTTTTCACCTTCGCAAGAACAATTGTACCATCTTCATATTAGAAATTCCGGCTTCTTTTTGCTATACACAATCTTTCCTTTTTCTGACCTTAAAACCCTTTGCATGAGTATATTCCAAGTATAACGTATACGCATTAGCTTCGTCTGGTAAAATTATTTTGTTGTTACCTACAGAAAAATTATTATTATTATTATTATTATTATTATTATTATTATTTATAGTATTTTTATGATATTAAGCTACATCCATTGAGTTAAAAAAAGGCTGGAAAAATCTAATGAACTTTTTTTTTTTTAATATAAAGAAGTAGTAAATCAATTTTTTAAAGATTGTGTAAATTTTACCTAAATATAATGTATAACTTTTTTTTTTCACATGTTTAAAATATCTTGATACACAAAAATAGTAAATAAAAATTTTATAATAATAATAAAAATATTCTAATTATATAAAATCATGTATAGTTATTAATTTTCTTTCACATCACTTGAAATAAAAAGAAAAACAAATATTTTTTGATTGAATTAAATAAATTAACATGGGTTTTTCTTTATGAAAAAAATATTAAATTAAATAAAAAAGTATTTAAATATTACCTAAATCCAGTATGTATATATTTCTTCTCATACATTTAAAATACATTGATTCATAAAAATAGTAAATATAAATTTTTTGATAATAACAAAAATATCATTAATTTTTTTTTTCACATAAGTTGAAATAAAAAGAAAAAAAATATGTCCAATTAAAATAAATAAATAATCTGTTTTATTTTTTTATGAAAAATTATTTTATATAAATAAAAATAGCAAATAGAAATTGTCTAATAATAACAAAAGTATATATAAAATTAAGTGTAATTATTAATTTTTTTCACTACTTAGATAAAAAGAAAAAAATAATCTAATTAAAGTAAATAAGTAACATGATTTTTAATGAAAAATTATTATATCAAATAAAAATCATAAAAATAAAATAAATATTATATAAATATTTTTTATCATAAATTTAAAATGTTTAGATACAATAAAACATATAATAAAAAAATAATTATCATGTAGCTGGAGTTCCCACGCCATAAAATATATATAATATTATAACTATATAAAATCAATAAATCATGTATAATAATTATTTTTTTAAAAAATATACATGATACATATTAAATAAAAAAGAATAAAAGTTAAAAAATAAAAAGAGAATAAAACGTTACAAATATATTAATTTGGATTTATGTGCACTTGCTATTTATCATGAGTATTGCTTCATGAATTTAAATTTGCCCCAGCTATTTGTTTACATCATAATTTTATTAGTTCTATAGTCGCAGATCAAATATATAATGTATTTTAACGTTTACTTGAGCCTTTTTTTTTAAAAAAAAAAAAAAAAACTCTTATTTTTATAGAGAATAATTAAATTGTATTGTTAGCTCCTGATTGATTTTAAAAAATAGTGAAATGCTTCTTTCCACTTTAAATTTATCTCACACAAATTCTCACAAAAATTGATCTTGACTCTAAATTTTTTTATATATGCATTATACTGCAATTGTCCACATTATATATAGAATTTGCTCTTAAATAGAAGAATGTGAAAAGTTTTTCTAATACTCCCTCCGTCCCATGTATTATGGGCCTATTACCGTAAATACGAGAATTTACGTAAAGTGTAATAGGTAAGTAATTAAGAAGTATATTAGTAAAAATAATTATAGTATAATAAAAATAATTGTGGATTAAGATTAAATAACTAAATAGTTTAATTAAGATTAAAAAATTATAAAATTTAAAATTTAAAATGAGATTAAAGTGTATAATTATATTTTAAAAAAAGAATGGACAAATTATGTGGAACAGATAAAAATAAAAAATAGCTACAAATTATGTAGAGTAATTCATCTAATAGATCCTAAAACCTTGTACAACTTATATCATGAATACACGTTAATGGTCATATCATCATTAATGATAATACCACTTAATAATGATAGTAAATAAACAAAATTTAAATATATATATATATATATATATAAAAGTAGTATTAAAGGCACGGGCATGTTTCATTGGGATTTTTTAAAATATTATTTACTTTTAATAAAAATTAATTTTATATTCAGAATATATATATATATAATTTCTATAGAAAATAAATGTATATTTAAACATTACATATTTTATAGAGTATTCATAATTTATATCATTATATTTGACATTTTTTATGTCATCGAATATTAATTTTTGTAAAAAATATCTTTAATTTTTACTAATTAGCTTCAAATTTAGTCTAATTACTCTTATTATTATGTATATTTAAGATTATATTATTATTATAATTTATTTTTATATTAATTTATATTAATAATATATAATTTATTTTTTATAAAAATATAATTTTTAAAATATTTAAATAGATAAATTTTCTTTGAGTGATTTGATTTAATTTCTTCTATCTAGAAAGAAAAATTCCCAAAAAAAATTAAATCACATGCACACTTATTTTTATTTTTTTTCATATTACTCTACAAATTAATTTTAAATTTAAAATATTACATCAATTTTTATTTATATTACATTACAGAGTTATTTAAATTCAAATAAAAACCGAAAATCAAAATCCCAAACAAACACAACTTTTTATTTTTATTTTTTATATAATGATAATAATAACTAATATTAATTGATGATGTGAAAAATGTAATTAACATATTTGATTATAAAAAATTTCTGTGTCCAACAAGTATCATTTGATGGAGCGGCAATCGAAACTCAGCACCATTTTAAGTCGTCGATTCAGAACACACTACACGTCCCACTTAGACATGTCATTTTGTTATCGCTAAAAAATTCTTTTGACAGCTTGGCCGTCGAGCCGATCGAAATTTGGATAGATCCTCCGACTTTGTCAAGAAAGAATTTGAAACAATGTGATTTCACATAAATTATTAAACAAAACAAAGCAATAAAATAAAAAAAAAACAAAAAAGAAAGTAATCAGTGACAAATAAGTATGTAAATGAAAAAAAAAAAAAAGAAATTGATTGCAAAAAGTTCTGGAATTGAATGGGAATTAATGAAAGAAAAATTGAAAAGTAATTAAATAATTGAAAAGAATAAAGAAAATAATATAAAAATAATTTTATTAATATCTTATAATACTAATATAATAATATTTGTAAAAATATTTTAATATTAAAAAATAATGAATGTAAATTGAAAATTTACTGAGAAAGACTATTAATCAAGATAATTTGATATTAAGGAGAAAATTGAATATATATTATTTAAATTATGAGATGTAATAAAATATGATTAATTATTTCTATTTTAAAATATTAAAACATATTTAAAACAAATAAAAAAAAGATTATAAAATATTTGAGATGGAAAAAGTCTTATTTTAATACAACCTGGTCCAAATAAACAGATCCCTAAACAACTTCGCCTACTAATTGAAGTTATTGGACCAACCAGCCAACCAACGAGTACAAAATTCAATATTCATCAACCAACGAAAACGAAAACAAACAAACAACAGCTAAGCTAGGTAGCACCTCTCCTGCCCCCTCATCGGGGTCATCGCCCCACCTCATACACATCGCACCTCATAACAGCCTCCTCCTGCCCAGCGGAAATTCCCAAGCACTCCACTTTCACTTTCTCAACCTTTTCCCCCACCCCATACCCTTTTCCCATCTCCATCTCTATCCCCCTCTCCCTTTCCGCCTTTTTCCTTTTCAACATGGCTGCTACCTTCGCTGCCGTGGGATCGCCTCTTACCGCCGCTGCTATTACTCGCAAGACCAAGATCGCCTATTTTTTACGCGCACCGGACAAGCTCCGGGGGTCTCCCATTTCGCAATGCCGCTCCATCAGATCCATCTCGCGCCCAGGTATGTGATATCTTGATGATATTATTAAGGCCCCAATGTTTATGCATGATTATTAACGTGGATGTGCAAGAAATTGATTGCCGGTGAGCTGTGATGTTAAATTCTAGCTTTATTTCTTTTGGGGAAAGGAGATTGAGTGGAGTGAGTCTCTGCATTGCTAGAGCCGTTGTTCTTTCGAATGCTATTTGATGGATGCACTGTACAAAGACTAGTTTGATCTAATTTGGTACCCACACACAAAACATATTTCAAATTTGCATCCTTCAGCTTCTGCTGCGGTATCTATTGAAAACTTTAGATTTTTACGGCCTTATTGAATCTTTGTGGCGGCTTTTCCTTTTTCTTTACTATGGCCGATGAGCCAGGCATAAAGGCCCAGGTTGCCACGGCGGAACAAACTACTACGGAAACAGTACAGAAAGCAGAAGCTCCTGTCGTTGTAATCACTGGAGCCTCCAGAGGAATTGGCAAAGCGATTGCTCTGTCTCTGGGTAAATCTGGTTGTAAGGTACGGTCTTGTAACTTATTAGTGGCTGCGGATCAGATTTCTTACATCGTACAGTAAATACTCCTCGTCATTTTGTGAATGGTTTTCTTTTTGTGGGGATAACAAATCGTCAGCGCACATTAATATTTATATAGTTCTTTTACCTTTTTCTCAAACTCATTAAGGATCTACTCCTTCAGGTTCTGGTTAATTATGCAAGATCATCTAAGGAAGCAGAAGAAGTTTGCAAAGAGGTGAGTATTAAAAGAAAGGACAAACTGTGTAATCAGATGTGTGCTGTTTTGGTAGCATCTGGAGTATGGGTTAGTGTAAAACTAAAGTTTAATATTAGTTTCTTCACCTTGTAGATAGAAATGTCGGGTGGACAGGCCCTTACTTTTGGAGGAGATGTTTCAAAAGAAGCTGATGTTGAATCCATGATTAAAACTGTGAGAAAGATCTCTAACTATATCTGTATATAAATTTATTAAAAAACATTTTATCCAATCAAAATCTTCCCTCAACCGTGATTTCTTTGGGATGTCTATAGGCAATGGATAAATGGGGAACAATAGATGTCATGATCAATAATGCAGGTAACCAAAAGCTGGATTATGTTCAAATACAATTCTCTCCTCTTTTTCTCATATTTAAAGTATATTTTACAATTTCAGGCATCACAAGAGATGGTTTATTGATGAGAATGAAGACATCTCAATGGCAGGATGTCATTGATCTAAACCTTACTGGAGTTTTCCTATGCACACAGGCTGGTTTCTCAAAGCTCCACATTTTTTTGCATTAATTTCTACTTTCATTTACATTAATGTCTTAATGCTCTGCAGGCAGCAGCCAAAATAATGATGAAGAAGAAAAAGGTAACAATGCTTCTATTGTTTTGATTCCATTTCATTTAATTCTAGTCTGATATTTGGCTTCAATCACACTCAATGACGTAATCCCAATTTGTTCTGCTCATAATGAGGGTAGTTTGTTCCTTTCTTTCATAGTGGAACAGTAATACATCCAATTTCCGTTTCTGCATTTAGACTAAGTACCTACGAAGTATCATAGGATAGTAATAAAATTGATCTTTAGAATCCATTGTATAACTCCAACTAAGGGTCAGAAATATTTCTGATAGTTTTATTATTATTATTATTATTATTATTATAATATACCCCTCCGTCCCCAATATTTAGCCCATTTGGGCTTGACACGGTATTTAAGAAAAATGAATATTTTATTGAAAAAGTAGAAAAAGTAAAAAGGTAATTGAGGGTATTTTTGGAAATTTAGCGAGTAATGAAAGAGAACGAAGAGAGGGAATGTAAGAAAGTTAGTGGTATTTGTTGTAAATAAGTGTTGAATGAAGGTAATAATTAAATGTGAAATTTTTTGACTTTTCTAAATATAGTAATGAGATAAATTTAACGGACGGACGAAAAAGAAAAGTGAGAATAAATTTGGCGGACGGAGAGAGTATATATTTTGGATTTCATCTTGGAGATTAGTATAAAGCTGATTTTATCAGGGAAGGATAATCAACATTGCATCTGTCGTTGGTCTTGTGGGCAATGTTGGGCAAGCCAACTATAGTGCTGCAAAAGCTGGGGTAATTGGATTCACAAAGACTGTTGCCAAGGAGTATGCCAGCAGAAACATCACTGTATGTGAGCTGGAATTTTTACCTTATTGTTTTCTGCAAGTTACAAACTATTCACACTGCAGCTTTCAGTGGCAAATAAAGATATTATATTAGAAGAAGATTCCATTGACAGGTAAATGCTGTTGCTCCTGGATTCATTGCATCTGACATGACTTCTCAACTTGGGGCAGATTTTGAGAAAAAGATACTGGAAGCCATCCCATTGGGTTAGTGATTTTTATTTCAATTTTGATCTACTTTATCAATCTTCTGGCTCCTTATTTTTGTGTTTCGCAAGACGAGGCAATGGTTTAATAATATTGATTCTCATTATTGGTTGGCCTCCTTTTCATCTTGAAGACCCAACAGCTATATATCTTTTTTCCAGCATTTATTTATGTGATGGGAGAATTAGGACGAACTGTAGGACTGAACTTGAACCCATGCGAAACAAATCAGGAAATAGATCTAATAGAAGGTTCAAGAATAGTGAGAATATAAGAGGAGTAAATCTATTCTAATCTAGAAACTAATGAGGAACGCAACATTAAGTGCAAGAAAAATAAAACACAAGGATTTACGTGGAAAAAGGCCACAGGAAATGGAAACAAAATCAATAAAATGTTCCCTATGACCAAAATGAAGGCTGCATAGATACAGATCATATTAAATGGCTTCAAACTATGCACTATTTATACCTTTTCTCTGTTGCAACGAATAAAACATTATTCATTTACTTTTACAATGAGAGAGAAAAGAATCAACTGGATCCTTAGAATTTTCAAGGCAATCATTGAAGTGGAATATTCAAGAATGTATTGCATACTGAGTGTAGAACATAAGGTAGCCATGGTGTGAATTTCTATGGAAGATGTAGCCCTACGTTGGTCTAAATGGCATCATATTCTCCATCCTGAGGCCTCTTTATAGGAATTTTCCCAAGTTTTGGTACTTTCATTTGATGATCAATATTTGGGAAGCCCATACGAATGTTTGGACATAACTCGACAAACACATCAATTTATAGTACTTTAACATATCTATGCAGCTAGCAACGGAAGTTCCAGGACTATTTGATGAACATTATATAGATTACTTTATGGGGGGTTATGGCCTGAGATTTGAATCCATTTGAGAAAAATGGACCTCAAGAACTTGAATGCATTGGCGTCAATGCCTAAGTCTTAGATCATTGGGAGAAGTGAATTTTCAATCTGGAGCGCAAGGGAGTTTGGCAAGCCACAAAAATGAAGTTGGTAGTAACAAGCTGGGAATGGGTAGTAAAGTTGCAAGTAGCCACCCCATTACCTCCGAGCAATCATTAGGGTGAGCTCTTCTTTGGAAGGTAAGTCACGCGGAATACCAAAAGTGTCAATCTAAAGATCTTTGCTACCTTTGCAATGAACCGTATACGTCATTGCATAAATGCATGGGTGAATCTCTTTGGGCATGCGTGGTGGATCCAGGGACTGAGTGACCGAACTTAAAGAAGTGAAAGAGTTCAAAGGTTGAGAAAACGGAAAGGAAGTGGTGGGTGAAATTGAATAGCTAGGCAAGTATGATTGCCCTTATTTATGATAGTGGGGTTTACTGGCTAGTAGACACTAAGGGGTCGAGAAGTTATCATTCTCATTGACAGTGGTGCCAGCCACAAGTTTGCTTCATCTGCCCTAGTACAAGTACTTGGGACTAATTGGAACCAACAGAAGCTTTGAATGTGGTACTAAAAAATGGTTAGAGGCTTTTTAGCGATGGAGTTTGTTGTGGGTTAAGCCTTGATCTTGGAATATGGATGGTGAAGGTGGATTGCTACTTATTTCCTCAAGAGGGCGTTGATGTTATTTTAGGGGTGGCATGGCTCTGTACCTAGGGAAACATTCGGATTAATTGAGAGAAATTAACAACAGTCTTTGTGGTCGTTGGAGAAAAGATTCAATCGCAAGAACACCCAACTCTTTGTCATTCTCAAGAAAGTTTCCATATGATATTTAATGGCACCAAAGCCAGGTATTGTGCTGCTATTGCTCCTAGTCCTCTAAAGTTGCAGATAGAGGGCTACTTGAGGTATGGAGGTGAGATTCAAATGGTATAAAAAAACATTCTCGACGGTCTTTCGGGTGCCATCCAATTTACCCCCCAAAAGGATCATACCAATCACACTATTCCTCAATATGGTGGTTTAGTTTCCAAACTGTACTATTACAAACAAGTTCAAAAGGACGAGATTGAACGACTTGTAAAGGGTATACTTCTTGCAAGGATAATATAATTGAGCACAAGTCCTTTCTTTAGCCCCTAGTGCTTCTAGTGAAAAAGGATGGCGAGGAGCTTGCTTCGACTATATCAATAGAAACAAAATTAATGAGATCATAAAAATCGGGATCTACTGTTTGCCCAAAAGTCTCCAGGGTCATTTATTTCAAAATAACCTTAATGACCCCACTTTAAAAATCAGGATCTACTGTGCACCAGGTGTGGAAATTTTGGTATTGGCTTCTACCGGCCTACACTTCAAGATTATCCTCTATATCTCTAGTCAACTTTATGGTTGTCGCTAGGTTCCTGAGTCTCAGGAGGTGGAGTGAACTTCGAATTAGAGACTTTTGACCTTTCATGAAGTAGTCTAGGTAGTGCGGGAAAAACCCGGAACTTGGCTCGTCAATTGAACATATAGAGTTGTTGATATAAGTGAGAAATAAAGGATTCAAATGATATCATTGCCCAAGAATAATCAAACGGTACCTATCATTTGCCCAAAGCCTGATGGTTACTTTATTTCCAAAATTCGAGAATGATAGTCTCCAACCTCATTACTCCTTAAATATTATTACCTAAACTGTACTTAATAAAAATAAAATAAGTCTATCAAATAACTAAAGGGCAAATCCAATTCAAAATATAATATATTAATAGAAAAGTAAGTAAATAAAATTTAAACAGGAGAACAACAGACTTAAGCTCATCCCCGTCGTCAATACACAAGCATCGGAAGAGACTCCACTTTATCTTCAATCTTAACTTCATACACTTTACAAAAAAGATAAAATCAAATAATAGCAACCAAATCTAGTAGTTATGACTAGATAATAACTATTAAATCTAAATAATATCTACCACAATATCTATCTAAAATATATCCCAAACACCTGCCTTAAACTCAAGTTGTGTTTTCGTAGCCAACGTGAGTTTGGCAAAAGAGACCAAAAGTGGAGTTTGAATACAAAAGAACTTCATAACTAGGCATCAATCTTTCAAGCATTCAAATCAATTTTATGTAGTGGTGGCGGCATTAAGAAACTAGGATTTTGGCCACATTAAGGTTTCTAGTGGCGACAATTCTCTCTCGCTAGAACACGCTGGAAATCATCTATTGCAAAGGTAATGCTAAACTCTAATAAATTTAAGTTTTTGGCTAAATTAGGATTTTAATGGGCACGATCCTCTCTTACAGTTGCGTCTAATTTCTGATGGCGGCGATCCTTTCTTGTGGCGGTGGAACCGGAAATCCTCTGTTGCTGCAGCGATGCTAAATCCTAAGAGACAGAAATCCCGGATAGATAATTGAAAACAAAACTAATACCTTCATTAAAAAACTAAAAACAACTTAACAGATAGGTTGGAAATATCTTAGTATGTTCTTGCTGAAAAATTATAGTGTTTTCCCATGCGGTTGGAGTTAGGGTTGACAAATTTGTTGACCACATTGACCATCCGTTGACCAAACATTAACAGATGATAACATGCGTTCTTCCTAATGACGACATTTGGTACGAGATTTAGTGGCAAATGTCGTCACAGAATCAAGAATATGGGGGCGGTGGTGGTACAAGTCAAATGCATCGAGGGAATGACATATAAATGAGATTAGAATGGAGTATATATACTTGAAGTGGTTGTAGATTTCATATGCAAGAGGCAACCCTCTGGGTATATTCTAAGTTACAAAATGAACTTGGAGAATTTTAAGCTTTGATACATGTTACATTGTGAGAGAATTTCTTAATTGTTTATTAATAATGAAATAAGTGTCTATTCATAGAACTTATACAAAAGAGATAAAACTTAAATAATAACAACCTAATTAGTAAATATACTTAAAATAATTACAACATAATCTAATAGATAAACTTAAATAATAACCATCAAATCTAAATAGTACCAACTAAAATATCTATTTAGGGTGTGTTTGTTTGGGGTTTTGGATTTTGAGTTGGGATTTGAATAGTAAAAATTTTGAATTTAAATAGTGGTATGATGTGATATAAATAGGTGTTGACGTGATGTTTTTAATGTAAAATTGATTTTTAGTATAATATAAAAAATTGAAAAATAGGTGTTTGATTTGATATTTTTGGGGGGGAAAAATGGGATGAACAATGGAAATCTAATCCAATCCCCAAAAAAACACACCCTTAAATTATATCTCAACAAAGATGATTAATAAGATAACAATCAAACATGATCTACCATTTCCCAATAGCTTCTAGGTTCTTTTATCTCAAAATGAAGTGATAAATCTCCAAACTTTAATGACTCCTTTTTAAATACTCTTAGGGTGTGTTTGTTTGGGGATTTGGATTTTGAGTTGGGGTTTGAATAGCAAAAATTTTGAATTTAAATAGTTGTATGATGTGATATAAATAGGTGTTGATGTGATGTTTTGAATGTAAAATTGATTTTTAGTATAATATAAAAAATTAAATATAGGTGTTTGATTTAATGTTTTTTGGGGGAAAAAATGGGATGAATAGTGGAAATTAAATCCAATCCCCCAAACAAACACACCCTTACTAAACTCAACTTATCAAAAATAAAATAAGCCTACCAAGATATAACAAAAGATAAGCCCATTTAAGATATAAAAGAGACTGGTAAAGCATACTAATGAAAGCCTAAACTATGAACAACAGGCCTAAGCCCGTCCCGGCCATTGATATATAAGTAATGGCCGAGACTTCTCTTCCTCTTTCATCTCAATCTTGTGCTTTCCCAACTCCTTTTCTATTACGTACAGTCACTTTTCAGACTTGCAAACAAGACGCTCCTGTCCTTTTTTAACATATCCCTCAGTTTGATTTATAAATACTTCTTCCAATTCCCCATAAGAAATGCAATTTGATAGTTATTTGTTCCATTTCTAGATCAAATTAGACTACCAAATCTCATGAATTCAAATGAATGTATGTGTCCCTGGTAGGAAGAAGATTTCAATAAAATCTATACCTTCTTGCTGACTATATTCCTTCATGAGCACCCTCACTTTGTAGCAGGGGTTTTCAACTCCAGAAATCCCTTCCTTCCACATATACACTAGGTCACTCCCGTCCTTTTGCAATTCTAGTGTCCCAGGTGTTTACTTGTAGCTGTTGTTTATTTATTTTCAGATGCTGTTCATTTCTGGAAGTTCGGAAATGAGATAGTATGCTTAAAATTCATAGTTTCATTGATTTATGATATCTGTTGGGCTACAATAGTGCTTCACCCATAGGTTCAAAGTTCATTTACCTTCTTTTCATTCTAATATTCCACCAACACCTTAAATTCCTTGAAGGTCTCAAATGCTTCAGTTTTGTGTTTTGGAAAATATACCCATATTTTTCTGGAGGAGTATCAAAAAGGGTCATCATAAGTTTCTTGTCTGTACAAGATAGAGCAATCGCGGGTCCCAAAAATCAGAGTGGGTATAGTCTAATTAACTATTGAATCTTTCTGATGACGAGGAGAAACCACACTCTTGTGCTTCCCAAACACAATGCTTGCAAAATCAACCTTGTCCAAGCCATTATTGTTATAACAACCTTTATGTAGAGAAATGGGGGAAAATATTATTTCATTCATTTTGAAAAGAGAAGGAAAGAATATATATATATCTTTAGAAAATTTATTCTAGCAAACTAAATCTAACTAAATCATAGATATGGAATCATATCTATATCAGAATCTAACAACCTAATTTAGATATGATTAAATAACTATTCATAAATTTAAATAATATTAATCAAAATATCTATCTAGAATAAATATTTTATGACGGCGATCCTCTGTCGCTGCAGTTGCACTAAATCCTTAGAAATTAAATCTTAATAGGTAGAAACTCCAGACAGGTAATTGAATACCAAACCAAAAACGTGATCAAAAAATTGGAAGCAACTTATAGATAAGTTAAAAATATTTCAGTTTGTTGTCATCGGAAAATTCTAGCTATTGAACACCGAATGCATTTGCACATGTAGCCAAAGTATGCGGAAATGAAATTGTTGACCTGAGTTGACTGGAGTTGACCGACAACGTTGATCAAATATTGACCGACACAGGTAACTCACGGGCGTTGTTTCTGAAGATGATATTTGGTGGCAATTGTATCTCAGAATAGGGATATGGTGGCTGCACGTGAGATTAGAATGAGTGTATTTTTTTGGAAGTAGAAGGAGATCTCAAATTCAAAAGGCAAGTCCTACTATCTATTTCTATTCTAGCAAAAAAAACTGACTCTATACCATTTCATTCATTTTGAAAAGGGAAAGAAAAAAAAAAAAAATATATATATATATAGATAGATAGGTATCTATCCTAACAAATTAAATCTAATTATATCTAACTAAATCATGGATATGGGATAGATATAAATCATATCTAAGATATAGATATGAATCTAACAACATAATCTAGATATGATTAAATAATAACTAACAAATCTAAATAATATTAATCAAAATATCTATCTAAAATATATTTCAAACACTTTGGAATTTAACATCTTTGTCTATTCTCGTTTATATGGTCCATTTGCATTCACCACAACTTCAATAAGCTAGAATTGTAGCTTACCTTCTCTGAAACTGGAGCCCTTGAATGCACTGCATGACCATCCAAAATACAAACCCTGGCCCCTCGCTTGCAAAATAGTTCATACACCTAAATTCACCTTCAGCTGAGTATGCCTAGCCCAAAAATTCCAGCATACCAAGAAACATTAAGTTCCGCCTAATTTCCGGAGCGTGACATTCATCAATGTGCATATGCTGCCATCTAGAATTTTGATTTGAACAGTTTCAATGCCTTGCACTTAACATCAGGAATTGACCCCCATTGAAACCACACCTTGTGTGATGTAGTAAGTGTAGAAAACTAGTCCTGAAAGGAAAAATATGGGGAACTAACACCTTAGTCCATTATCCACTTGTCATGAAGTTGTTTATCAGACATAAGTCAGGATTGGTTGTCCTCGTCCTATTGACATAATTAGTTTCAAGGGGAGTTTTCCCTTTTGTTCTTCACTTTTTCTTGTTCTTCAACTTATAGTAGTTGGGATAATGTGTCCTGATTTTCGGCAGTAGTTACAAATTTTGTTGGTTCTTCTCTTGGAAAGAGATTTGGATCATGACTTCTTCTCTTGAGCTTTGCAGCCCTTTCAAGCTCATGATTACAAACAAACAGAACCCAAAGCATTATCATCACTCCATGGTTGAACTTCTCATTTAAGAGAAAATTTGCTTTAACAGCTGCAAATGTGTCTCTTGGCCACTGTGCAACACGATTTCCTTGAATTTCTTGTGGAATGGAGGCATGAAACAAACAATAAAATAGCTTTGTCCTCATCTTTAATTTTGACATCCTGATTTTTTAGATCCATAAAGAGTTAAAATCTACTATATGTGTTCGTATACGAATACCATAACTCGTACTGATTTTTTATAGATGTTCCTTTTACCTTAGTATTAACTGAAGACTTGGCCATATACATCGTCTCCAACTGATTCCACAAACCAGGAGCAATTTCCTTAGCAGCAACTTCTCTCATCACATCCTTTGTTAGCATCAGTTGTTTGGCACTAATTGTCTTCTTGTCATATGATATCAACCTTGTCCTCTATTCTAGCAAGTTGCACCTTCAAAAGCTTTCTGAAAACTATATTGAATAATAATGACTCAAATTTGTCTATCAAATTACATCAAATCTTGAAACAGACATTCTCAAGAACAATAGTAGGGTGGTGATACCACTTGTGAAGAATTAGGACAAGCCTCAGGACCAAACTTCAACACATTCGGAACATATCAAAAAATAAATTTTATAAAAGAGTTGAAGTGAGTTGAGTCCCCTAGACGAACTCATTGATCAGCGAGTAGAAATAATAGTGATCCTTAAAAAGAAAGGAGAAAAGTAGGGTGTATTCTTTTGTGTATATATATGTTTGTGTGTGTGTTTTTTCAGATTTGATGTTTTTTAAGTGGAAATATTAGTTAGATATGATTTTTTTTTTTAAAATGAAAAATAGGTGTTGGAGCTGATGGTTTTGGAGGGAGAATAATAAACTGAATAGTTAAAAATGGGGGAAAACATACAAATGAACACATCCTTAGTGTCTTGGCAAATGAATCAACCCAACTTGCTAGAAAATTACTGTAGAAGGCTCACTTGCCTTAAGACTAAAGTATTGCCAAAGCTTGAAGATGAGGGAGTTGAAACTGATTCACCGGGGTTGATCTTGATTTCGGAAATATGTAACAATTTACTTGCTGAATGGTGAACTAGTTCAGCTTAGGACTCACAAAAGGGGTAAAGTACTTTATTGTTGCCAAATTCAATATTATAAGAATATGATGCTCAATTATTCTTGCTCGGAGTGTCCGTATATTATTAGTGCATCCTTGGATATCTAGAATGTAAATCACAGAGTTTGTGTGTACTAGTTTCGAAATGTTTATTTATGATAAAAGGTCGTATTGAATTCAGGGCGGTATGGACAACCCGAAGAAGTTGCTGGCCTGGTGGAATTCTTGGCCCTTAATCCTTCCGCCAGCTACATCACTGGACAGGTGATTGTTATTTGTCGTAATTTGTTCTCTTTTATACGAGCTCATGTCCGAGCTGCAAGTAACATTTGGGTCATGTCAGCCAAGTTGTGTTTGGTGTTTCTTGAAGACTTTAACGAAATTGTGACTGCCGTCTCATATTATATAGCGCTTGGTTTGAACTCGCAGGTGCTAACCATTGATGGTGGCATGGTTATGTAAACAGCATCCGTTAAAGTTGTTGCCAGCATTCGTCATGTCATCCCATCAAGTTTTAGGACAGGTTAGGACTTCTTATGATACATGCAAACAAATTTGGAGTCGGCCAAACAAGAGGTGATTTAAGTCTTTTGGTTTTTTTCATACATATATATAATTGTTATTCTGAAGATCATCATGATGTTACAAGGCAAATAATACGACTGACTAATTAATTGCCTGAATATGGTTTGGGGCAGAAATTTCCAATCACCTTTTATTTATTTATTTATTATTTTTGGTTACGCGACGTGAACGCATGCATGGTTAGAAAGTAGTATCATTTCCATCTTCATCTCCATCTCCAGTGAACAAGTGTTGGTGTGGTGTGTTACAGATGGAGTGAGTGCTGCTGCCGATGCCACTCACTCCAGCGAGTCATGCTTCAAATTATTATCCTCCAAAATTACAAGTGACAGTGATATATAGGATCCGTTTGGAGGGTCCGTTTGAATTGACTTAAAAAATAAGCAAAAGCAGAAGTCAAAAGCATAAAAAAGTTTGATTTTTGTGTTTGGATGTAATAAAGCTTGCTTTTAAACTGTTACAATTATTAAAAAGAACATCATGTTAATATAATTGTATTTTTTTATAAAAAATTATATATATATATTTTTAAAATTTTATAATTATATTTCAATAGTTTAAATAAAAGTATAGAAAATATATTTTTTAAAATTTAATTATTTATATTTTAAAATTTTAATTTTAAAAAAATATATAAATTAAAATAACAATATAATAGGAGTATTAAATTATTCGTATTCTTCAATTTATTTTAAAATTTTATAATTTATATTTAATAATTTTAGTATCATTAAAAAAATAAAATAATAATTTTAGCTAAAAAATATTCATGATTATTTCAGAAATTATCTTCAATATGCTTCTAAGAAAAGAATTGCTTTTCCTTTTAGACAAAAGTCAATATAAACAAATATGAAGTATTTTTTTTAAAAGCACATAGCAAAAACAACCGTCATCCAAACGGACAAAAGTGCAAGCACATGCCAAAAACAGCTGCCAAAAAAAAAAAAAAAAAAAAAAAAAAAAAAAAAAAAAAAAAAAAAAAAAACAATCCAATAGCAAACCAACAATACTATCCATATTATATTAACTAGGATCAGATCGGATCGGATCCGCCTGGGTAGGATCAATCCAGTTTTTCAAAATCCATAATTTAAAAGTGTGTTTGGTTTAGTGTTTGTGCGTTTTGATATTAATCTTTATTAATAATTGTTTAATGTTATTTTTAAATGCTGAAATTTAATAAAGAAATAGTAAAATTCAGACATAAGTTGGAACTTGATTTTTATAGTTTGAGAGAAAAAAATCCTTAAGTATGAAAGTTGAAATGTGTACCGTTTAATTGTGCTAAGGTTAGATCGTGGTGTTATTATTTGATATGCAATTTCACATTTTCTAAATATATTTGAATTTTGTTAGAACACGTAGAATCATGTGCTATGTTGTGTGAATATAGAGAGAAAATTATTTATAATTTGTCTATTAATATTTCCTTAATAGTCTTCTTTACTATTTCTGTCTGTCCAAAACAATAGTCTTGTTTTCATAAATAACCATATCACTCTAAAACTACCCTTACTTTTTCATTTTATTATACAATTGCCACTGTAAAAAAAAGTCTTTTATCTATATTTTTTACCAACTATTAATATAATATTAATATTTATTGAATCTCGTGTCCAACCCAATTAAGACTATATTTATGGGACAGAGGGAGTAATATGTTATACAAAAGAAATATAATTTGTTAAACCAAAACAAGTGGTTTAAAGGATGCATTAGAAATTGAACTTATGTTTGTGATCATATTTCAAAATTAGCGTATTATTATGTTTGAAATAGTACATTAGCTGTTTAGTATATATTTATATTATAGATAGCAAAAAGTTATACTAAAACGAGCATATTATACTATACAACAAACACATTACAAAATTAGTATATTATTACATTTAAAATAACACATGTTAGAAAGTTTGGAGGAAAATAATGAGATTGTCTTTTTATCATAAAATAAGGAGCTTATATATAGGCAATACAAAACAGACTCGATAGACTCAAATCTAAGTAATCTAATCTATGAATAATATTAAATCTAGATTTAAATCTACTAAATCTAAAATTGAATATCTAAAATATCTCAACATTCTCCCTCAAACTCAAGTGGTATAACAAAAACCAACTTAGTTTGATAAGAAATATAAACGCAAAAAAAAACTATAAATAAAATTAGCAGTTGACTCTCCACCCACCGGAGCAAAAAAACAAGATGACTCTCCACCGGAGCCAAAACGACATGACTCCACCGGAGCCGAAAACGACATGACTCCACCGGAGTTGAAAACGATATGACTCCACCGGAGCCGAAAACGACATGACTCCACCGGAGCCGAAAACGACATGACTCCACCGGAGTTGAAAACAATATGACTCCACCGGAGCCGAAAACGACATGACTCTACCGAAGCCGAACACGAGATAACTTTCTACTGGAGACGAAAAAGAGATGACTCCATCGGAGCCGAAAAGCATATGAATCCACCGGAGCCGAAAACCACATGACTCCACCGGAGCCTAAAACGACATGACTCCACCGGAGCCGCAAACGACATGACTCTCTACTGGAGTCGAAAACGATGGGAGTACTCTCCACAAAATCGGAAATAACAGGACTCTCATTGCAAGCAGACGGATCGTAGAATTGCGAACAGATGCGCAAACATGACTTCAATTGTAGACAAAATCAAGACTCAAGATAAAATCAAAATTAGAAAAAGAAAGGGCCGGAAACTATTGAAAAAATTTCAAAATTAAGAGACCTCCGGGTACATCCCGTGTTGAATGTACGCGAGAACAGACAAATTTCAGATTGTATGCAAGAAGGCAGCGGACAGATGACAAATCTTAGACGAAACAGATTTGCAAAAAGACGGACTTGCAAAAGCATAATCTCAAAACCACCGAGACCTCCGGGTACAATCCAGGTTGAATGTACCCGGAGAAACACAGGTTCGTAGGCTATATCTACGACATGATAAAAATAGGCTCTGATACCATGTTAGAAACTTTGGGGGAAAATAATGAGATTGTCTTTTTTATGATAAAATAAGGAGCCTATATATAGGCAATACAAAACAGACTCGATAGACTCAAATCTAAGTAATCTAATTTATGAATAATATTAAATTTAGATATAAATCTACTAAATCTAAAATTGAATATCTAAAATATCTCAAGAGCACATTGTTAGTTTAACGCATATTTGTATGAAATATAAAAAACATTATTACACCACACAACAAGTAGAATGCAGAGTTAACATATTATTACAATAAAAACATTATTAGTTTAGCACATATTTATATGAAATATAGATAACAAATGATTATACTGTAACAATAATATTTCACCACGCAATAAATATATTGCAAAATTAGCGTATTATTAAATAAGAATATATTTATATTATAAATAATAAATGATTACACTATAACAATAATATTTCACCACACAATAAGCATATTGCAAAATTAGCGAATTATTAAATAAGAATATATTTATATTATAAATAATAAATGATTATACTATAATGAACATATTTTAGCATACAACAACCACATTGTAAAATTAGTATATTATTATTGTTAAAGTAACACACTTTATTATATTAGCACATATTTATATTATAAATAGCAAACAATTGCACTGTAACTAGCATATTTTACCACACAATATATATTTCAAAATTAACAATATTGCTTAAATAGCACAGTTGAACATATAGAAATCATATAATTATTTATTAAATAAAATATATATATTTCAAAAAGTACAGGGAAACATAATATAATTTGTTAAGAATTATTGGATAAATATTATAAAATACAAAATTATATTTATACCTTAGCAATAATTCTAACTATTGAATTAATTATTAATCCAAAGAATTAAAATTAACAATCATACTATTGACACCAAAGTCCTAAAAGAAACTGCTCCTTTCGTCTCAAACACCTTGCAATATTTTTAAATTAATAATCATACTATTGACTAGTCCTAATCACCCGGCTAACCAAAGTCATAAAAGAAACTGTTCCCTCCGTCTCAAACACCTTGCAACATTTTTTTTATGTCACAAATACCCTGCAACATTTCTAAAATAGAAAATAATTAATTATACTTAATCCCCTCATATCGTCCAAATAAAAAAATAAAATATACATTTCTCTCAATCACATCACCTAATTTCTAAATTATCCTACTTAATACTACTGACCTAAAAGCCCGTGCCAAAAGCAAATGTTGCATCTTGTTTGGGACGGAAAGAGTAATATTTTTATTGTAAATGAGAGTATTTAAAACAACGTTTATAAACTAATACTCCCTCCGTCCAATATTTATGTATCCGTTTACTTTTTACACGAAATTTTAGAAATATTATTATTATATTGAAATATAGTAGAAATAAAGGTAAAAAGACTAACATTGTTAGTATTATAGGATATAAAAATAGTGAATGTATCACTTTTGCACAAGGTACAAACCCTTTTATAGCAGTTCCAAGAGGCCACTCTGGAAGAAATTCCCCGAGAAGAAAATAGTGAAGCAAACGACCTTGCACAACAAGCATCTTCAGTCTGATGAACAAGCTAATTTTCTTGCTTATATTTCAAATACGGATCTAGAAGCAAAAAGACTAACATTGTTAGTATTATAGGATATAAAAATAGTGAATGTATCACTTTTGCACAAGGTACAAACCCTTTTATAGCAGTTCCAAGAGGCCACTCTGGAAGAAATTCCCCGAGAAGAAAATAGTGAAGCAAACGACCTTGCACAACAAGCATCTTCGGTCTGATGAACAAGCTAATTTTCTTGCTTATATTTCAAATACGGATCTAGATTCTTTCTCAAGGAAGCCGAAAAATTCTTCATCTTAATTCTGGCAGGCTTACTTTGATAAGTCGTTGAAAAATATTTTGAGTGGCAACACACTTTCTTGATACTCAGCTCATAGCTCCATTCAAAATGACCTCCATTTTGATTATATCCATTTTTTATTGCTAGAGTATAGTATTTAACGGTTATAAGAATTGAGAGAACAAACAAAAAGCTGAATCATCGTCTCATTGTTTATAAACTTGATGAGATTGATTCTGAAATACCGGACAACATTCATTGTGTTTTTCACTTGTTCCGAAGCTCTCCTAATTTGGAGTCCCTTGAAATTTCAATAAGTGACATATCGTTGATTATATCGTCTTTATTTTATCTTTTCCGGTACCGGTATTCTCAATACGATAATGAAGTGCCCCCTTGATTGTTTGAAGGATGCACCAACTATTCTTCTAAAATACTTGAAAGATATGAAAATCTCAAACATGTCTGGTTATGATGTGGAAAGGGAAGAAGCTTTTGTAGTGATGAATAGGCAACGCAACTTAAGAATTTGAAAATGAGATACAAACAAACAATTCTCTTCCAGGTTCAAACCACAATTAAAACCAAAACAAAAATGCATGTGTATACAACATACTACTATATATATTGTATTCTCGCGTGCTTTGTGTCGGTATTACTACAAACTACATAGAACAAACATTAAATTAACAGTGTTTGATTTGTGTAGACCAGACCAAACCAGACCAGCTATTCCAAGTGTAGTGAGTGAGTATGATAAACTAAATGAGGCTTGCTCTAAGCTAAGCTATAACTTACTACAGCTGATTTGAGGCCAATCTCATGAAAAAAACCAGAGATTATTATAGTCTGCTCTACCAACCTCACAGAATGGACATAAAATACACTTCCCCCTATTCCTTTTCCAGAACCCAATATGATCTCCCTCAAGAATTTTGACCTTTATTAATAATAGTAATAATAATAAGACTTTTGCTGATACACTACTACTACTACTACTACTACTACTATGTACACTAAGTAGTCCAGTCTCTGTATCCACAATAACCAACCAACCAACCACTCATTCCTGCTGCCTGCACAAGGGAAGATAAGAAGATTAATTATCATCCAAGAATCAATCAAAAGATAGCCTAGCCAGCCTCCCACAGAAACAAACACCAAATCAGCAGCGGCAGCAGCAGCAGCATGCATACTCACAAACAATGCTCAAGTGCAACCAGATAGCTAGGAGAGTCTCCTCTCCTTGGGGCAGACAGACAGGCCTTTGGCTTAGGAGTATGTGGGCAGGCGGGCACCGACTCATCTACTGATGTTTCTCATCCGCATCCGAGACTGCTTTAAAAAAACGCGACACTTCTCGATATAGTATCTCAGCCTCAAATGGCTTTGATACGTACCCGTCCATCCCACACTTGAAGCACGCTTCATTTGTGGCCTGGATGACATCAGCCGTCATGGCCAAAATGGGCACGTGCCACTTTGAGATATGTCCGTATACTTCGGCAGAAAGTTCTCCTCCCTGGATCCTATTGTTTATGCTCAACTCCATCTCCCTAATCCTCTTTGTAGCTTCAAATCTGTAACATTACTTTCTGTGGTTAATTATAGCGTATATAGCAGCTACACATCATATGTTGCACTAATTAACATTAGGAAAAGGACAAGTATCTCCTCTGTTAAGTAAGTATGTATTGCCACTTGATGCATAACCACAACATATTGAATTCCTTCAAACCAGTCGAGCTGGTGAGGGAGGCAGTAATGCTTACCCATCCATTTCCGGCATCTGAATATCCATGAAACAGGCGTCAAATAGGTGTGGAGGAGTTAGCAACAATATTGCATCTTTCCCCCTCTCTGCATGGACCACCTCAGCACCGTACTTTTTTAGAGCTCCGGAAGCCACCACAAGGTTCACTGGATTGTCATCTACTACTAGAATCTTTTTACCATGAAGAAGATTGCTGAGGGACAGATTATGATGCTCTCCATTGCGATACATTCTTCGGCTTCCAAGACCCATGGCACGCTGTAGGGATGCGGCAAGCATGCTTGCTCTTAGTGGTTTCATGACAACAAATGGTGTGGGAACATCAGAATCTGAAAAACCGGCTTGAACAACACTGCTTGTTGAATTTGATAGAAGCAATAGTTTAGGAGCGATCCCATAATTGTTCCTTCTCAACATCGAAACTGACATGCATATATCCCTATTCCAGATTTCCTCTTCAATGAAAACCATGTTCAAGGGGATTACGCCAGAGAAGCTTTGACTCAAGTCAGAAACCACTTCGACGTGGATTCCAAGCCGCTGGATGTGATATTTGGAGACCATAGCTCGGACAGGGTTGGATTCCACTAGCAGTGCTCTCATCCCATGAAATTCCGATGAAATAGAGTCAAACTTACTGTTCACTGGCTGGCTGATTGATTTGTTGAAATTTGAGGAGCTATTACTGAAAACAGCCGTGAAAGTAAAAGTCGATCCAATCTGTGGTGAGCTTGCTAATCCAATTTCACCTTTCATTAGGTGAACCAAACACTTGCTGATGCTTAAACCAATACCCGTGCCCCCATTTCGGGTGATGGAGGGACCAACTTGCATGAAGGGATGGAACACACAGGATTGAGCTTCCAGTGGGATGCCCTGACCAGTGTCTTCTACAGATACTATTATATTAATTTGATCGGCTAATGAAGAAGAGCTGCCTCCATCTTGATTCAAAGGTCTAAATCCTGCCCAGCTTAGCCTTCTATCAACTACAGGGTAAGCACTCAAGGAGCTATTCAAGTTGCCCTCTACTTCCATATCCAAAACTTCTTCAATAAGATGGACTGTCACAAATATGTGTCCTTTATCAGTGAACTGCAAACAAACAGCAACCAGGCAGTCAAAACATTGCATATAATGCTAAACACTACACCTAGGATAGCTGTTTTACAGGATTGTGTCAGATTGCTAGGATAAAGTCACTATGCATGACTTACAGAAAGAGAATTAGGGGAGACAATCTTCTCACTCTAAGAATAACACAAGGATATTGAATGAAATTTGTTGATATAAGCGTCATTTATTTTGAACAGCAGACAGACACAGTAGTGCAGTCACTGCTCTCAAAACTTCACATATTCAACTAAGCATCACAAAAGGATTTCAAATAAGCAACAATTCCAAATTTACTCTCAAATTTATGGCTTAAAATGATTAAATTCTAGATAAAACTTACTTTGATTGAATTTCCCACCAGGTTGGTAACAATCTGTCTGAATCTTCCGGGATCACCAACTAATGTAGCAGGCACTTTACTAGAAACGTAAACAGCTAACTGCTCATGCAGTCACCCAACAACATGACAAAAATTGCAAATGCAATTCAAGTTAGAAATGACAAAACAGGGAAGAACAAAAACAGAAGTCAGAACATGTTACTTACCTCAACTTTTTTGTCTTGAGATTTTCCCGAGAAAAGTGATAAAACATCATCAAGAATAGCCCTCAAGTCAAAACTAACTGCTTCAAGCTCAAGTTTACCAGATTCAATCTTTGCTAGGTCCAGGACCTCATTTATGAGTGAAACTAATGCTTTACCACTCTCCCTGGCAGTTCTAACATAATCTTTCTGAGTTTCATCCAGACCTGTATCCATAAGCATTTGCAGCATTCCTGTCATAAAAAATAATAGGCAGTTTCACAAATTATCAGCAATGTAATTTCATCAACATTCGCTAGATCCTGGAACATGGATCAAAAGATCTGGCTTATTGACTAACCAAGAACACCGTTCATTGGAGTTCTGATTTCATGAGAAACTGTAGCAAGAAACTGCAAATAAAAGAAAATCAATTAGGATGCATTATTTTACTGGTGACACGATCACAGTTTATACTAAAGATGGAAAAGTTCTACTACCTGTGACTTTGCAACATCAGCTGCCTCAGCACGTTTCTTAAGCTCCATCATCTCATGATAATCGTTCTCAACTTTTGCTATTCGATTCATGGTAGCATGGAAAATTTGCCCCATGAGCAATGAAATTATGAGGATCCCAACTGATGTAGTTATTGCAACCCATGGCCATGGTGGTTTTTGCTTGAATCTGATAGAAAAGGAAATCCTTTAAGAGATTCCATCAAGGGACATTTGAAAGGATGCTAGTATCGGCTGCACTTGTTGTGCAAGCAAGAAACATAGTATATAGATAAGAATCTAACTGAAAACAAAATATATTTACTTGTTCATCAGTTATTATCAAGGCTTCAAATAAGTACTCGAGAACAAGAATGTGATAGGAGGTACTTTTGAATAGAGAGAAGTGTTCAAGTTACCTGCAATGCATCTCATGCATTCTAAATGGATCTCCAAAGCTAAGAGCACTGACATGACACAGTCCTCCAAATGAGTTGTTTGAACCATACATGCTAATAGGTTGGGAGACATTGGTAGTATCATATACATTCACAAGAATAGTTTGCTTGCTAGCAAGCTGCTGAAGCAGTTTCTCCACAAGCGACTCAATATCGAAGATCCCGCCAAGATACCTTGTCCATGAAGTCAGATGTCAACAGACCTCAGCCACATCACATTTGAGTATATATTGAAAGATAAATCAAGCCTAAAGCTATTTGAGATTGGATTCTAGTCAGATAGCATACCCAGCAGTTAATTGGATCCTTTCAGTAGTGGAAGCATAAGGAGGGAGATCTGCTTTGTAAACAGCAAATGTCAATATCACCCCTAGGCGATTTGTTTTAAGTAATCTGAAAGGAGCAGTGAGGACCCCTTTTCCTGATTCCCTTGCACGCAATACATTGTCACGATCTTCCTATTACAACAAGAATTTTGAAACATAAGAGTTTGCTTTGTACTCAAGCCTGTCTTCAGCTTCAAATATTTGAATACATATTTGTGCCACAATTAGCAGAAATCTTCCTTGTAGTCTATGCTCAAAAAGCGTATACAGGAGAGAAGCTATTTAACATTGAGAAAAGGAAAATTATTCAATAAGCACTTGCCTTTCCCGACATAACATCTACAGAGATGACATGAGCAACAGTGTCTTGTGCAAAAATGACAGGGGCATACTCCTCCTGCACGGGGGATGGCTCAAGATCTGCTGGATCGTACTCATCTTCATGGACTGGAGTCTGTTCAACATTATCCATTCTCTTGATAGTTAGGCCATGTTGGATCTCGAATTGCTCTCTTTCTGCGTGGAGCACCCGTACAGCATATGCTACTCCACTTGTAAGAGGCCTCTCAAATGATGTTCTTTCTGTATATTTGGCGAAAGTCCTCTACAGTGTATTGAAGTTAAAGCATGTTAATGAAGCCTCTAAGAACGAAACATTCAGAACCAAATCTGATTCTAAACAATACACTCATCAGGCACGAAGAAACTTCAATGAATGCAAGCAAGAGTATTCATATTCTATGCAACACTCCACCCCTCTGACCAAAAATAAAAACTCAACATATATATTAGAATAACTCATGAGGAATAAGGATACTGCAAAAAATGATAGTCAGTCAGATTGTAGCTTTGTTGTGGGCAAGACCAAGAAGCAATATGCCCGAAAACAAGTGTTGCAAGGAAATGATTAACCAAATGAGCCAAAAAAAAATCAACATAACAGGTAATAGGTGAAAATTCGTCAGATATGGGTGGTTCTTTACCTGATCAATAGCAGATGGGATCTTTCCATGGTGAAAAATTGAAATCATGACAGACATCGCCTGAATATGATTCATGCTAACATTGAACTGATCTTGTAGCATCCTCGCCCTCTCATCACACATACTAGCAAGTGTTTCTTTCCTCTTCTCCAGAGCTTGTGAGCTCATGTACCAGAAAACCCATAAAGATGCCATAATTCCAAACACTATCCAAGCTATCAGAAGTTTCCGCCACCAGTTCTTGGTCACTTTCCTGGAACCAAAATACTGGTAATAATTATGGTGGATCTTACACACACAATCCAAAACCAGACCCCAAAATTTGATCCATGCATGCCCCCCCTCACCAATAAAACCAACCTTGGTGGTCATGATTCCTCCATTACTTAGCCAATTCAAAGAGATCAGAGATAGAAACCAGCAACACAACAACAGGAAAAGATGGCCCACCTTCAATCCAAAACCAATTACATCAAGTAAACTCATCTAACAAAGAGAATACCGAGGGATGCTGGTCAAGGAGCACCAGATTCAGCTACCTCTTCAGTTTTAGTTATTCTATTGAGTATTATGGAACCGTGCCGTCAAAGCTATAGCAAACCCCTATATGGACTTCCACACTAACATCAAATCCCTACTATGACTTTCAGAAAGCGCCTCAAAAATTGCAGAAAGCAAGAAGAGGCCACAGATAATGATGCTATCTTATCCACCTAATCCTAAATATGTTCTTAATTCAATTCAAATTAAGGGAGATGAAGAAATTCTCAAGCAAGCACCCTTAACAGAACCAAAGAACTCCCGACCCTCCAACTCCTTCAAAGATTCAACATAATATTGATTTACATCGGGCTAGCTACCAACCACAACTCGCCAGGAGAAATTATTCAAAGCTAACGAAGGAAGATTCTTTTAACAAGAAGCAATAAAATTCTAATCACCCAAAGTAAATCCTAAGCAAACAACAAAAGCACCAGCAGCGGCGAAACACCCTAAGTGAAAAATCTGAAGATGTTTCCCTTCAATATGTTTCGCCTTAACTTCCTGAAACTGAAAAGTATAAATGGAACTAAGAGCTGTGGAGTTTGACTCTCAAAGAGCCAACAATTGGAGTTCTTGAGATGTTTGATAGATTAATGATTGGAGCAGTAAATAATGGTCTCACTAAGAGAGAGAGAAAGAGAGAGGGATTGAAAAAGAAAATCACTTTAATTTATAAGGACACTTGCTACAAGAATCTGAGAAAGTAAGATGAGGGAGGGGAACACGGTGGTAGAAGTAGATATGTCTGCAAGCGAAGGACCATTATTCCTTAACACATTTCATCCATCAATCGATCAAACACACACGAAACAAGAAGAATAACGGGAATTTGGACTTGGTTTGTTATTAACATCAATTCCCATTAATTAATTAATTACAGTAATTATTAAGTAAAAATAAGGAAAAGACCAGTAGGTATTAATTAAAGAGTGAATAAGGTATGTTTCCACTCACCAAAAGGGAAAAAAATAATAAATAAAAAAATAAAGTAATAATAATAATAATAATAATAATAATAAAAGAGAAAAACACGAAGCACGAATGTTGTTTTACCCTCTTTGCTTCTGATCACATGACCCGACCCGACCCGTTGGAGAAGTCCTATTCGCCAACAAGTTACCTCCACTTTAAAATCCACACACATAAAAAAAAAAATATATTTATAAAGTCGGAAATACCCTTATAATCAATTATAGAAAAATTAAATGATAATGTAACTATGTAGTTTATGTCACTTTCGTTCCTTTGTACTCACGTTGCCCGAGTCGGATCGGATCAGTCTCCTTCAAATTGGCTGCTATATCCTATAGGGTATCAATTCAGGCAAACTTCTGAGGCTATTCACATTAAAGAAATTCTCCAAAAGTTTTTTAAAATTTTTACTTTATACTTATTTTTTTTTAATTTCACAATCTTTTTCTTTCACCTCATTATATATATTTTAATTTATATCAAAATAATTAATAATATTATTAAATTTTAAAAAAATTATATCAATATAATAAATAATAAAATTTTATATAATAAAAAATAATATTTTTTTAAAAAAAAAGTTTTTGTAGGTTGCTGTGCAGAGCAACCCACAAAAAGTTTTTGGTTTCTTTTAAGAATGTGGCATTGACGTGGAGGTCTCTGCAGGGGAAAGAAACCCCCGATGCAGAGATGCCCTTAGGCCATCCGCATCAATGAAACCCAATATGAGTTTCTTCCATCTCTTTTATTTTCTACGTTATATTTTCTCATTTTCTCTCTGTCACGTCATTCGAGAAATTCATTTCATTTTATACATTTATCAAAGAAACTCATTTACACAAATTTTAATTTCTCTTTCTTCCATATTATTAAATTATCTATTTTTAAAATAATTTTAATAATAATAATTTTTATCAAATATATATTTATTAGTATTTATTTATTTAATAATTTAATTTATAAATAATAACAAATATTTATTATTATTATTATTTTCTTATTATTGTGATCAATATTAATGATTATTTAATTATAATTATTTATATTTAATAAAATTTTAATATAAAAAACGTATTTAATATAATAATCTATATATCAAAGAAGAAGAAAAATAATTGCAAATAAAACAATACAATTATTTAAATTAAAATAACATCGAACAATTTAATTATTTGCAGAACAAAACTTCTGCCATATGTGTTCAATTTTATAGTACAACATTTTGTATTATGTGTCTTTAAAAAAATAAAATAAATTCTATTGATTTGATATGCAATGATAAATATAAGAATGTTGTAAGAAATTAGTACAATAAAAATTAATGTGATGTGAAAATTCAATTTTATGGTACAACCTTTTGTTATTATTATTAATTGGTTATATTTAATTAAAATTTTATTTAACAAAAATATATCAATATTGGTATGATTTTGTAAAAAATAAAATTTTATAAAATATAAAAATATAAAAATTATTAATAAATATATATATATATAATAAAAATATAATGTATAAAAACTAACTAAAAAAATATTTTTTTGCCATGTATTCCAATTTAATTGGACACATAGTAAAAATACACTAATGTCTCGGTTTTAAAGGAATGCTGTAGATACAGTCAGCGCTACACGCTGGCAAGCAAATAATTAATTTTTAATTTATTATTATTTTTTTTAATCCGACGTGGGGTTTCTCTGCAGGAGATAAACCCCCTACGCTAATGGCCTTAGGGCATCCACAACGGGAGACGCTTGTTGAGAAACGCCTCCCACGTCATCATTTATTAAATAAAAAAAAATTAAAACACCAATTAACATAAGGAACGGTACATTGCGAGTGTACCGTTTCTTCCAATTTTTGTGGGCCATGGTCCACTTTTTTATTCAATAAATATTAAAAATAATATTTATAATATATACTTTTTTATTTATATTTATAATAATTTGTTTTATTAAAATATTAGATTTAAATTTTATTATATGAGTTTTATTTAATATTTATTTTTTTATTAAAATAATATTGTTAATAACTATAATTTTTAATATAATATTTTTATATTTTATGTAACTTTTTAATGCATATTTTTGTAAAATATTTAATTAAATATCTATTAATTCAATTATAACATTTGTTTAATTAAAATTACATGCAATACAAATAATAAATAAAAATACATAAAAATATTCATAAATTTAAAATTAAATTTACATGACTTAATTAAATTATACACACTACAAATATTAATTGAAAATACATAAAAATATTCATAAATTTAAATGCAAACCTACACGACTTAATTAAAATTACAGACAATACATATAATAATTAAAAATACATGAAATAAATACCAATAAATTTAAATGCAAACTTACGGAAAACATTCGCGTGCCAACCTTTGTTTCAACTGTTCTTCAAATTCCGTCAGATTATCCCCTTTGGCCATTATCATCATGAGCATTTCCATCTTCGTCTTAGCAAGTTCTAACTGTTTAGCTTCCCGATCAAATTTTCTTGCCGTTTTTTCTATCCTTTTAGCTTTCAAAAGTGCTTCTATTTTTTCGGGTTGTTGCTTCAATCTTTGCTCCTTGACTGCTGCCATATGTTCCATACTTGAGCTAAATTCACTGCTTTTTTCGTAAAATTTTTCATAATTTTCAGTAGGACTTGAATTGAATGCCTCGTTTTGCACCTGTTTCTCCCTCTTCTTACTTGCTTTAATACCAGGGGGACGAGTAGGAGGAGTTGGGTCATCCACATCAAAGTATGGTGTCGCCGGACACGAACCTGAGTATCCACCGTCTTCACTCGTTTTTGTTCGCTTTGAACTTCCACCACTGTTATGAGATGATTCGCAGTAACTGGCCTTCCATTTAGGCTCATTTCTGAGTATACGCCAAGCATCTTTATGGACGAAGTCTTTGCTCTCACCGTCATTTGAGTATATTTTCTTTGCTGCATTGAGGACATCCGTGCTTGATTGTCCACTGCGCATGTTTCGATTGGCCTCCTCATAACACCCAACAAATTTTTGCACTGACTTACATATTTTACTCCAACGATTTTTACATTGAGTAACACCTCTGCTCGTTGCACTTTCGGGCTTGTTCTCCATATAGTACGTTGCAATTCTTTTCCAGAAAGCACTACTTGGTTGGTCAGTGTTGGTTACGGCATCCTTACTTGTGTTCAGCCATGCACTGATTAGAAGTTCGTCTTCATTCCAGCTCCACACCTTCCTCGTATCTTTATTTTTTGAATTGTGAGGCACATCATCATCTGCTAAATTGATAGGTGTGCAATGTTGTGGGGTGCCCACTGCTTCATTCGCTTGCATCATGAATTGAGGAGATGATGAACTTCCGAACGCTTGAAAGTTTGGAGGATAGAAGTTTGGAGGAATTTGATAATATGGTGAAGGATTGAATGGTTGAAATGGGACATTAGATGTAGGGAATATGGGTTGATTTCCTAACATGTTCATAAAACTTGGAAATCGAAAAGAATTTTGGGGATCTTGAGAGTTGGATGAATTTTGAGAGTTGGGATCCATTCGTAGGAAATTTAGAAGATAATATAGAGAGAAGAAAATGAAGAGAGAAGATTATAAAGAGATGGTGTAGATGATATGAAGTGAGAATGTAGTGTATTTATAGTAAATATTGCAACGGTTATATTCCCAACGGCTATATTCCCCAACGGCTATATTCCCAACGGCTATATTCCCAACGGCTATATTCCCCAACGGCCATATTCCCAACGGCTATATTCCCCAACGGCTATATTTCCAACGGCTATATTCCCAACGGCTAGTTTCTAATTTATATATATGTAACCAATTCACATGCACACAATTCATATGCACAATAGTTCAACCTTTCATATCTTATTTTCTCTCAAAACAATGTCAATTTCATCCTTATCTCTGTCCGATTCATCCGACGAAGAGTTGGAAAATATATGTCAATTGGCAGAAACATATGCTCAATTGTATCAAAAAATTGAGCATATCAACAATGAAGATGAGGGAAGCTCACGGAAACGTCGACGGAGAACATACATAGAGAGGAATCGTGAAGATGGTCATACTCGATTATTCAATGATTATTTTTCTGATAACCCCGTGTATCCAAGTTCTTATTTTCGTCGTAGGTTTCGAATGAGAAAACATGTCTTTCTTCGTATAGTAGATCGCCTCTCCAATGAAATGGAGTTCTTTCAGCAACGGCGTGATGCTACAGGAAGAGATGGATTGTCAGCATTACAAAAATGCACAGCAGCAATACGTGTATTGGCATACGGCACAACTACTGACACTGTTGACGAATATCTTCGTCTTGGAGAGAGCACCACAAGGGCATGTTTGAAGCAATTTGTTGAAGGGATATGTTCTCTATTTGGTGAGGAATACCTACGACGACCAAATTCTACTGATGTACAACGATTATTATTTGTTGCAGAGACACGTGGTTTTCCAGGCATGCTAGGAAGTATTGATTGTATGCACTGGGAATGGAAAAATTGTCCGGCTGCTTGGAAAGGCCAATTCGAACGTGGAGATCATGGCAAACCTACAGTTATATTGGAAGCTGTAGCCTCATACGATCTATGGATTTGGCATGCATTTTTTGGCACACCAGGTACATGCAATGACATTAATGTACTTGATCGATCTCCGGTATTTAACGACGTTTTGAATGGCAGAGCTCCAGAGGTTAATTTTGTTATCAACAACCATCAATATAATATGGGATATTATCTTACTGATGGAATTTACCCTCCGTGGGCAACCTTTGTTCAATCGATTCGTCTCCCTCAAGGTTATAAAGCACAATTATTTGCGCAACATCAAGAAGCGGTTCGAAAAGATGTGGAACGTGCTTTTGGTGTATTACAAGCTCGGTTTGCCTTCATTAAAACTCCATCACTTATTTGGGATATTAATTTACTAGGTAAAATAATGAGAGCATGCATCATATTACATAATATGATTGTAGAAGATGAAAGGGACACTTATGTGCATTATTACGATACATCTCAATATGATCAAGTGAAGACAAATGATAACTCGAATTGGTCATACAACAATACGAGACATGCAACTATGGATCAATACCTACGGAACAGAATGCGACTCCGAGCTAGAGAAACACACCACCAGCTCAAAGCGGATTTAGTTGAACACATTTGGGAGAAATTTGGTCAATCGACTAATTAATTTATTTGAAAAATATATTGTAATATTATGTATTTTTTATTAAATTTAAGTTTGAATTTTTAATTAGTATGTGGATGTGGAATTATTATTTTTATTTATTTTATTTATTTATGCTAAATAATTATTTTATTTTTATTAAATATTATAAGAATAAAATATGATTGCAAAATATAAGTTTATTTTATAAATAGATAAAATATTTAATGAGGTGGAAAAAGTAAAGATTTTAAAGGGTTCTTTGATGTGAATGTAAAATATAGTTGGAGTTCTTCGTGACGTGGCGGAGAGAGAAACTGACGTGGCACAGGAGAGAGAATGAGAAGAAATTTCTTTACTTTTTCCACCTCATTAAATATTTTATCTATTTATAAAATAAACTTATATTTTGCAATCATATTTTATTCTTATAATATTTAATAAAAATAAAACAATTATTTAGCATAAATAAATAAAAATAATAATTTCACACTTTGCATAATAATTAAAGTTAAATATTTAATTTTTTTATTTCTTGAAAAATATATTTCAAATTATAAATATTAAATAAAATTTTATATAACAAAATTAGAATATAATATTTTAAATAAAATAAATTATTATAAATATAAATAAAAAAGTATATATTATAAATATTATTTTTAATATTTATTGAATAAGAAAATGGACCATGGCCCACAAAAATTGGAAGAAACGGTACACTCGCAATGTACCGTTTCTTATGTTAATTGGTGTTTTAATTTTTTTTTTATTTAATAAATGATGACGTGGGAGGCGCTTCTCAACAAGCGTCTCCCGTTGTGGATGCCCTTAGCTATTACTTCATCTTCTTGAAGTTATGTCAGTTTTTATTTCTATTTATATGCTAAATCTATTTATAGTAAAAAGAAATTATATATAAAAAATAATAACTTTTTTATACTTTTTTTTTAGTTGTTCATTATATATTCAACAATTATTTTTTAATAAAATTTTATAATAATTTATTTTACTTTCTACTTATCATATTTTTATATCAAAATATTATTCTGTCCGTCTTCAACCATGGTGCAACATTTGTTTCGATAGAAGAATTTACGTAGATAGTATTAAATAGAATAGTTTTGAAAATGAACTGATATGATAGAGAGAGAAAAATGTATATTTATTTGATGTGATGAGATAAATAATGAGATATGAATTAAATATATTAATTATTTTTTAATTTTTGGATATACTAAAAAGAAAATATTGCAGAATATTTGAAACGAAGAGAATTACTTTTTTTAATTTTTATATTCAATAAAAAATGCATAATTATTCTGAATTGAGGAAGTATTATTTTTTTTAATTAGAAATTATTTTATATTTTTTTATAAATATATAAATATATTTACCTATATTTAATCCTTGTGTCTATTATTATTCGTCTTGAATAAGTAAATAGTATAGAATAAATAAGGTACTGTTATATAATATATAACAATATAATATAATTGGTAAGTATTAAGTGTATATATATATATATGAATGTGTGTATGATATTTAATAGATATATAGATATATATAGAGAGAGAGAGGGGGAGAGAGGATTATGAGAGAAATCCTGTGCGGATGAATTGATGCCTACTCCATTTCATTCATTATGTACATATATTATATAGGAGAAACAACATACAATATATGAGTGTAATGCATCTATATCAAAGATAGGTAGTGTCTACGTATACATTTGTTGTACAATACTCCCTCTTGGATGCTTTATACATAGAATGTGTCTCGTTAAAACTTTACTATAAAAAAATCACGTGGGAAAAAATCATAGTGAAAGAAAAAGAGTATATCATTCTTGTATTAATGCGCTCACCTTGTTTTAGACTTTATTTGATGTCTTTTATCCGACGAATTCCAATTCCTTGTACTAATTTGTTGAATGTTACAGTCAGTAGCGCCTTCGTAAACAAATCTGCAAAATTTTCAGACGATTGAATTTGTTGCATATCAATTTCACCACTTTTCTGAAGATCGTGGGTGAAAAGGAATTTGGAGATATGTGCTTTGTCCGATCGCCTTTAATATACTCTCCTTTTAATTGAACTATACAAGTTGCATTATCTTCAAATAATATTATAGGAGGTAATATATCATCGGTAATCAAGCCACAATTTTTCCGAAAATGGTGAATCATGGACCTCAACCAAACGCATTCACGACTTGCTTCATGAATTGCTAAAACCTCAGCGTGGTTTGAAGAAGTAGCTGTTATCGTCTGTTTAGGAGATCTCCAAGAGATTGCGGTTCCGCCATAAGTAAATAAATAGCCAGTTTGAGATTTTGCTTAGTGTGGATCAGACAAATAACTAGCATCAGCATAACCGATTAATTCATTTCGAGATTCCCTCGAATAAAATAGACCGAAGTCATGAGTCCCCTGAAGATAACGAAAAATGTGCTTGATACCATTCCAATGGCGCTTTGTGGGGGATGCGCTAAACCTGACGAGTAGATTTACTGAAAAGATATATTTGGCCTGGTACAATTTGCAATGTACATTAATGCACCAATAGCGCTGAGATATGATACCTCGGGGCTAGGTATTTCTTCATTTTCTTCTCTTGGCCTAAATGGATCTTTACTGGGATCAAGGGATCTTACCACCATTAGTGTACTAAGAGAGTGAGATTTATCCATGTAAAATTATTTTAATACCTTTTGGGTATATGTGGATTGATAGATAAATATTTCATTGTTCACATGATCCACTTGTAATCCCAGACAATATTTTGTCTTTCCAAAATCTTTGATCTCAAATTCTTTCTTTAGATATTCAACTGCAATTGGGATCTCTTTTGGAGTTCCAATTAAATTGAGATCATCAACATATATCGCAATAATGACAAAATTTGATCCATTTTTCTTGATAAAGACGCATGGGCATATTGGATCATTAGTATAACCTTCTTTTATTAAACAGTCACTGAGACGGTTATACCACATTCGCCCTGATTGTTTAAGTCTATATAATGACTTTTTCAATTTGATGGAATATGATTCCCTTGGGTTTAATTTATATGCTTCAGGCATATTGAATCCTTCATGAACTTTCATATAAATATCAGTATCCAATGAGCCATAAAGATATGCAGTAACTACGTCTAAAAGACGCATATCGAGCTTTTCTCGCACTGCTAGGCTCGCAAGGTATCTAAATGTTATTCCATCAACAATCGGAGAGTATGTTTCATCAAAATCTACTCCAGGTCTTTGTGAGAATCCCTGAGCTATAAGACGGGCTTTATATCTCACAATTTCATTATGTTCATTTCTTTTTCGTACAAACACCCATTTGTATCCAACTG